ATTTGCTATGTTTCCTTCGATTGTGTAAGCTCTTATTTACCAGGGGTCCATATCATATGAGTGAATGACGTTTTAGCGAATGACACTTTGGCGAATCGGAATCATTTGAGCGAATTGACGTTTTCGCGAATGACGGTTAGCGAATAAGCTATTTGTAGGTGGCGGCACGCTGTACGGACGTTTTGTCGCGCGTGTATTATTGGGACGCGCGTTAACCCATGCGAAAAACCCTTTTACGGCGCTTCGCAACAACACACATAAGGATTCTTAAAACAAAACAAAATACATTGAGTTGTTGATGTAACCGCTTACTCCTTTTCGTAGACGGCGGCACGTTGTAGAGACGTTTCGTCCCGCGTGTATCACTGGGCGCGTATTATCTATTGACCACTCGTCCGCGCCGCTTCGTGGCGGCAGACAAGGCGGTACATAAGCTAATCCAAGCTGTCGATGATTATAAGTAGACCAATTCGCTAATATCAACGCCATCATTCACTAAAGCGCCATACGATCAAACGTCGTGGTTTCGTTTTCATTCTCCAAAACGTCGTTCGATCAAGTGAATGCCTCCCGGGTTTTACAAAGCTAAACTTAAGGGCACGCTTTAGATGTTCCATCTTTAAAAGGAGTGAAGTTACGCTTTGTACTTTATGTTCACCTGTCGTAGTTCATGGGACTACAGTTTAATCCTTACAAATATATTTGCAGTTTAATCCTTACAAATATATGCGAATATATTCCGTCGTTTCTTAATCAACACTGAGACCAATGTGCATAGAACGCCTTAATTTGGCAAACTAGTGAGATTCAAACATTTATTACATAAAGTCAGACAATGTCCCCTTGTATTACTTTTAACGTGAGACAAAATACACATATGTTGTCAGACCAATATTGATAAAGGTTCAGCACACCAACGATATGAAAAATTTCCCAAGCTTGTGTGTGTCTACCGCCTTCTACTCTGTCCTTGTCCTTGCGCTGTTTGTTTTCCGCTAATATGAATGACCAACTAGCCCAATCGTCAACACTACTGAACTTCATTTCTAATACAACAGGCCCTATTCAGCAGCGCTGTGTGTGTTTACCGCCTTCTACTCTGTCCTTGTCCTTGCGCTGTTTGTTTTCCGCTAATAAACTTGGTCAGTTAATTTCTTTTTTGTCTGTTCACACCGCAGGCAGAGGTGCCGGACAAACCCACTTTGTCTGTCCCTCACATATACGAAGCAGCACAGAAGATTGTGATTTACGGCGGAAAACCAGGAGAACTTGTTTCACTGAGTGATCCGTGCACACTGGAGAAAGCCCTTGTGATGTGCCTTGGCATCTATTACAATAAGAACATCCACTGAACTCTCGCTCTTGCGCAGCCGTGGATACTGCTGCAAAAACTGTTTTTGCCCAAGGACACTGCAACCCGAAGGTTAATGAACGGAAAACTGACTGCATTAGTGGGTAAGCTGGGACCATGAAGACCTGTGCGACCTATGTCGAACATTAACTTGCATAAAAGTAAATTCCTTTTGGAACATCGTCGCGAACAGTGTGTTTCATTCTTTGTAATGACTTTACGGCTTTGACAATAAAGAGAGTAGTTCTCAACATTTGTGGCATTATTTAAGCTGCCAAAGCGCATACTTTCATGCCGGACATCCATATTAGCAAATCAGCGAGCCTATGTAAGCCTAAAAATGACAAGGGTCACAAATTATTGATTATAAACCACTTTAAATTAGGGCAGATTTTCGGGCGAGGAACGTGCTTCGTGTTTAATTTTGTTGCGCAAAAGTTTTGTTCAAAAAGGGTCTCAAATTGGCGAAGATGTCTTGCTGGAAGGTATGCGTAAGTTTGTACTATACACAGAGCGCTTTTTTTTATTCTTTACGGTCTTTTTAAGAAAAGGAGGTATTGCTACGGGAGTGCAGTCTTTGCCGGATTTTTGTGGGGCTCGGCGGACATTAGATGAGGGGATAAACGTCACATTTTGTTGACTAATTAATCAACATATGTTGATTTACTTTTGAATTAATTGCTCAATCGTCGCGATTGCAGTCTTAACGGGACCAATTATTAAAACCTGACCCATTTTAGGCAGTTCGTAAAAAAAAAAGAGCTTTGAGATATTTTTTGTTTAAAAGTTTGCTTCCCGCGCTTGATTGAAAACCGCACGCAGAGAGGCGCGCCTGATTATGGTGCATAGAAGCGTGACGCAGTTGGCTTCCCCGTAACTATCTCGACCGCATGCCTTTGTTGGACGCGCCGGCGTCAAACGTAAATGATAGTGACAGAGGGGCAGAAGTATCACTTTCGTACGGATTATATTCAGCTTGCGGTCTTGAATCAAGCGAAGGCAAAATTTTGACCATGGATATCTCAAAGATCGTTGTCTTTGCACGAATGGCCTCAATCGGGTTAGGCAGTAAACATCCCTCCCGTTATGACCAAGTAAGCCATTCATTGAAAGGTTAATTATCAAATTTTGGTTAATTAGTGAACATAATGTGACGTTTACCCACTCGTATAATGTGGGCCGACCACGCGAAACTACGGTGAAGACGGCCTCCACGTAGCTATTACCGCCTTTTCTAAAAACAACTGTAAAGAAAAGAAAAAAGCCCTGACGCAACGGTCGCCTACATTTTTAAAGTTTGAATAAAAAAAACTGTGTACGTCAGACACTACTGTAACATTTATATGGGAGCTTTCACGAGATCACTGCGTAGAGGGTACAGAGTTGGCGGTTACATTGTAACTCCTACAATCAAAGGTACAAATTTGCAAAAACGTACCCTCTAGTAAAGAGTACCCGGCTAAGAGTGTACGGCGGCGAGGTCATAGACTGGCCAAACTCGCCCCCTATATGGCTCTGGTCCGGATGTCACCGTCCTACCTGCTCTGGGTGAATAGATAGATGAATACACGGCTAAGTCACTCGAATAGGACGGGCTTCTGGGCCATCGAATCAGTTCTTCGTTGTTTTTTTTTGTTTTTTTTTTTAGTTTTTGGAGAATATGTGTTTCCTTTGATGGGCGACCCTGGGAACTGAAGGGGCGAAGTAATAAATTTTAATATGTTTACTAAAAAAAAAGTCAGTAGATTTTTGTTTTTTCACTGAATCAGTAAACCCGGTGCGAAACCAGTAGTTCTACTAACAAATCAGTAGACCTGGCAACACTGAATAAGAATATTGTATTGTCTCTCTCGCTTAAGTTTGTGTGAAGCATTCTGATTGTCGGTACTTATTATAAACAAAGTTAATTTTATTTAGTTTTAAGCGTTTATAAGTAATGAAAAGTGTGCATGTAATTCATTTCCATCACTATTTAGAAAAAAAAAAGTAATGTGACATCAGCTTTGGTTTTGTTTCGGTTTTAACCGTGTCCTTTCACGCGCATCTCGACTGGTGTTGGTAAGCCCACGTCGTAGTTAAACCTATGCAACTCTTATTTAGCGTGTAACACCGGACAGCTCAGTTTATCTCAATGACAGTTGGGAGATGTCAACGATCGTTAACTTCATGACAGTTGAGAGCGCTTATGTAAAGGCCGGTTCAGACGCTTGCATCTGAGTGCGTTGGACTGTGTTACGTCGAGAACCAAAAACGAGTCATCGGCACATTTGTGCTTCGTATCAAGCGTGGAATCCAATTCTAGGAATCAATAATCTTGCACGCGATATAAGCAGCCAGGATGTCCTGGTTTCTCGCAGCCGGAACGCAGTCAAACGCAACTGTCTGAACCAGGCTTAACTAGTGTATAAAGCAGGTCGTGCAGTGCCATGTGTCAGCTCAACGGACACCGCTCGGGTTTCAGCACGCGAGCATTGGACTCAAAATGCTTTGCCTGGATTTTTATTCACTACGTTTCAAACCTGCAGCGATGGGTTGGGGTAAGCGAGCTTGTAAAATCTTGACCTCCTTCGGGAAAGCGATAGAAGGACTGTGGTGCTGACGAACGCTCTTAAACCCACAATATCTGCTTCACGCGGTTGCGAAGGCTGCGTTCTGAGCGACGTGGTTAACACGCTGGTAAGGTGACGACAGAATCACCGGAAGAACTGTTCAAATGCGTCAACTGCCGACATGTAATCTCGGAAGCCATAACAGAGTAACAAAATTCGTGAAAGGATTCTCTCCACTACCTCAATCTCTTCACTATCTTCATTTTTTTTTTCTCTTTCGCTCTCTCGTGAAAGGACCTGTTCCGTCCGGTTAAATATTTTCTAGCTAGGTGTTGTCCCTTTTTCTGGTGTCTCGAATATATATATGGCTTTCCCGTAACGTCATTCGCGGCCATGACGGAATTTTATGTGTCGTGAGCGTTCGATTCCCCGTGTAAGCTTCATACCGCCGAAGTAGGAGCTCGAGGGAACCAGTGAGTAGAAAAAACCGTCAGAACCTAGCAATGGTGACACCTGCAAGCTGTGTATAGACGTCTTTCGTTTCCCTTCCTTCTTAGTCACGTGGATTCCGGATCTTTTATGCGGGAAGAAATCATGATAAAACATTTTAACCTGGAACACGGTGTAAAATACACTCTTTAGGTGAGGACACGGCGGGGCTGAACGCGCGGCGCGAGGAATCAGATAGCGTTTGTTCGACAGGAATCAGAAAGGCTGCATCATTCCGCTGCCACCATGCCCCCGGCTGACAGTGTCGCCGGCGGCCAAACGGCGAAACTGTGTAAGAGCGAAAAAAATTTATCTCGTTGCCATGACACCCCGGTACAACGTGGTCTTTCTGCACGTGCGACAACCTCCCTGGAGCTCTGCGCGTGTGGAGCATGAGGCGGCACGAGCCGTCTTTGCCGTGCCCACCGGTCGACGAGTCACCTGCCGGCGCCGCTTGAAACCGTAGTGAGAGAGAGAGAAAGAGAGAGTGAAGAGGCGAACTTTATCGGGCACGTCGCGAGGAGCGCGCTGTCCTCACCTGACGAGTATTATCTTACACCTTGACCTGGAATATGCGATAAAATATCTTCGCATGCAAACGCAAAAGGAGACAAGGGACATACAAAAGCACGTCAGACGCGGGCGGCGTTCAACACGTAAGAATTTTATAAGTTCGTTCTCTCTTCAGGCGTGCATAGCCCTCGTGACCTTCACAGCGCCCCTGTCGGCTCAAGGCCACGCTCACTCATCCCCCCCCCCCCCCTCCGGACCGAGGCTTCCTACCTCCTTCTCGAGAAACCATTCCTCCTTTCTGCTCAAATTAAGAGATTTCTGACTCACATTGTTGTCGCCCCTCTGTAGGAGGAAGGCCTCGACCACTTCCCGTCACAACCGGTCAGGGTGCATTTTGATAGCCGCCGCTTTGTTAAAGATGGGCTCGCATCCCTCGCAGCTATGCACGTGTGCCTTTAGATGTGGTTTTCGTGTTGCTGAAAGCTTGTATTTGCGTTCTTTTAATCTATCGTTTATGCACCGCCCTGTATGCCCAATGTAAGGCTTGCTGCAAGACAGTGGAACCTAGTATGCTACGCTCTCTTCGCATGCTACAAATTTTTCTTCGTGTTTCTTCTTGCATTTCTTTCCCCTTGGCTATCTTCTCCATTAACTTTTTGAATAATTTTTAGAGATTTTTTTTACACGTGAAGAGTGCGCTGCGATCCTCTGACAACATGTGTTTTTTAATGTTGTGAGAGACCCGTGAGTGTACGGTATGGTAACAAATTTCTTGGGTGTTTCTGTTTCCTTTTTAGTTTTTTTTGTTTGCTAAAAGCCTAGAGGCCACTATTTGTACTCCATTTCCGGACATCCCCTGTTCTCAGTCTGTATGCAGAACCTAACAAGCAATCACTGAACAAACGACGTACATATCTTTGCCTAACATATTTTCACAAGATTCTGACTGACCCTCAACATCCAACTTACTCTTAACTTAGAATGTCGGTGTTTTTCCTGGTCTTCTTAACAATAACCCAAATATCGTGACACCACTAAGCTCCCGCATTGAGCATCTTTCTAATTCGTTACATCGATCATTGAAACAGGTCGGTCTTATCCGGAAAGCCGACGACGGTATTCCTCCCTGGCAGAGACTGCCGGTGGCTTGATTGCATTTCCCATGCTGTCATTCAACAAGAGTTTTGTTTAGTACAAATAATGTACAATGGCCATCTTTATGTTTAAACAGATGGCGCCAAGACTTGACCTTTTGTTGACTGCGCTGTGTATTCAGAACGCTTCTCTAAAGTTAACCGAACTAATTCGATTGCCAACATGTTTACTGCAGAACTTTATGAAGTATCAATACCGATTGACGTATACATTATTTATAAGAAAATAATAAAGGCTGTTTTGTTTGTTGGTTTCCAACGTTTGACTGTTGCTATTTTAAATTTTAAAGATACTGAAAACGTGCTTGAACAGCAAGTTCAGTGTAAACTCAACTCTGCTCTACATGACGGTGAAAGCATAAAATTCTGTTGGATACCTAGTCACGTTCGCACAGAAGGCAAAGAGAAGGCCGACAGACTTACAGGGTCTGCAGGTAGCTTTCGCCGTTCGTCTTCCTGTTAACCATATCAGGAATCAAAGCCTCTAGTAAAGTCTTTGCTTTTTCGTTGTTGGTAAATCGAATGAGACATGAAATGCTAAAACAAGCTCCACGTTACTATAGGCCTGCTCTTCGGGCCTGGCAAAACCTTACATGCAAGCGTCGTCTTCATGAAACCTAGTGGGAATTCTTTTATCACTCATAAGTACCTAATTTGGGGGGAGATCTGCCGCTCTGTTATCGGTGTAGGGATACTATTAGTGTTTTACATATATTGTAATCCTCTCCCGGTCTGGAACCGAAGCGTCACATTAATTTTCCTGAGTTTTCCTAATTTTCCTTAGTTTCCCGAGTTCCTGAGTTCCTTGCAGGGAGAGAATCCCGTAGTCACTTTTAGCTGAGTAATATACTTTCTTGCTAGCATTGCCTTTTTGCACAAACTACACGTTTACCATGTTTCAGCTTGCACTTTTGTGGAACCCATTCCAAGATATATCGATTATTAATTTAGCCTGGCACAGATGGCCTCGTAGCTCTTGCGCCATTAACCCCCAAAATCATCATCACCGGCGTTCAAACGCTTGCCGAATGATGATTCGATCTCCAAACACGCGATATAATGAACGAAGGACATCATAAAATGCTCGCCTTCGAGAACCGCGTACAAGCTTCAGTATTTTTAGTTTCGTGTGATTCTCCCATAAATTTGCGTGTATCGCCTCGTGTCAAGCAATGACCGCCGGTGGTGCCAACGACCGGCTCACGACCCGCGATCCAGCCAACTACAATAGAGGTCTCTGGGGCAGAAAACCCAAAGCCTGCTGAATTTGAAGATATAGCGGAATATTTCTAACTCTTTCCTTGGAAAGCTCTACGCCTTTTCCCTGCAATGCAGCCGCGGAGTCTAGGCACTTCAGCCGAACCCAGCTCACGCATTGGACACGAACGAGCAGAGCGTAACTCAGACGTATGCGCTCGTCAACGATCGATCCGCCTACGAATGCTTGAATTCGTGTTCGTGGACAAAGCGTAGGGTGACCACCTTCCTCCTAGCGAAATGCGGGACACGGGGAGGTTAGAAGAAATATATTAACACGCACACAACGAACCTAGGCTCTGTTAAGACATTTATTATCCTGCACTGTTTATACACCTGATAATTGTATTGCAGCAGTTAAGCTCAAATAATTTCCACTCCCACTGATATACTCGTTTTAATGCCAAACATGCTATTAAAAGTGTCGAAGTTGAAAGCACAAAAATCAAAATGGAAATAAAAAACAGGAAATCTTTTTCGAATTATTGTTTCCTGCCAACGCTTACTTTTATCAACATGGTCATACACAATGTTTTACATTATGTTCCCTTTCGCCCAATGCATTCACAAAAAAAAAAAAAAAAAAAATATCCACAGCAACCTTTTTGCATTGACGCAGCAATTTGAAAATTATTACAATATTTCATATTTAAACTTTTGGCGAGCAATTTTTCTTACGATATTTGGCCACCAAAGGGAGAGACACAACGGCGCATGCGCGTCGAATCTCTTGCAAGAACGAAGGTCGCTTCCCGCAATGCTTGGAAAGAAAATGGCGTATCGTTGCGATTCACACGATTACCATGCGACCTCCGCGCTTTCCCGTACCGCGCCGTTCGGCAGCGCCATGAGTTGCGGAGTGAATTTTTGCGACAATGTGAAATGCGGGACATTTTGATGATTTTCGAATTTCTCGCGGGACGCGGGATACGAGCCCTCAATGCGGGACAGTCCCGCGAGTCGCGCGACGGGTGATCACCCTAACAAAGAGTCTCGTGACGGCACTTATCATAAAAAATTGGGTTGTGTGTGTGTTTATACAGCCTAGAACTTGGTCTGCCTCACAGGGGCGACGAGTCTCCCAGCTGTAGATGAGAAATTTAGCCAGTGCGGTACAAGCGCTAGCCTGGGGTCTTTAACGTGCACCACGCAGTAGTAATACACGACCGCACGCCGGTACGATGCTCATCCAGATCGGAACGGGCAGGGGTGAGGATTGAACCCGGGATCATGGGTTCTGCAGCGAGAGCTTTCGCTCCACGTGCTCCGAGCTGGTGTGCGCTAGACCACTCGGCCACCGATCCCCCCCAGCACTTATCATAACTTGCAAATACCAAGTACCATTCTGCGTTCAAAAGCACGTTGGCATCTGTAGAATCCTGAAGTCGTCGCGTTCGGTGGAATTCTACGTCACGATTAGGTGATTTCTCATGTCGCTTTTGTGTTGCGGAGGTATGCTAAGGAGGAAGAAGTTGAAAAATCATTGCACGGTCTCTTTCACTGGCTCGATCGGATCGCAGTGTTGGAAGGGGTATTCACACGAGGGAGAAATCTCGGGGATTTCTCCATGGCACGCGCATCCCGCGAAGAAAACGTCAGGCTTTGCGATGCGCAGAAGCCTCGCGTTTTCGTCTCGTGATGCGCGCGCGACGGGGAGAAATCCCCGGGATTTCTCCCTCGTGTGAATACCCCTTGGTCGGAATTAAAGCGAAACGGAGAATTAGCGAAATGCGCGACCGAAACCGGTGCAGTGGTCGCGATTCTCGCGATTGTCCGAACGCTTCCTGTGACGTCTTTATTGTGATTTTTTTTTTTTTTTTTTTTTTATTGCCGGAAGTCAGCGCAGTACCAGAATACCAACTGTGAGGATGTTGGTTTAAGAATGCGATAACTCCAAGCTGCCATCGTTATTTTTGCACACATCAGCGAACTTGTAGTTCGATGATGTGTGTACGCGAGGCGAATTCGAGTGGTGACGTGACAAGCGGACATCATAAGAGGGCGCCACCTAAACATCTCGGCCAGAGTGGTTCTGATCCCGGGGCGCAACGGGAACGCGCTCCCGACGCCGCACTTTCAGCAGCCTTTATCAGAATTCCGACGCCGCTAGGGAAGGCGGTCGACGGCGCGAGGCCAGACTGCGAGCGCGCGCAATGTAAGAGGGAAAGGGGGGCGAGAGAGGAGATCGCGGACAGTCGCCGAGGCCGAGAACGGAGGAGGAAATCGTGCCGGTTCGGGAGGAGCACACGTCAAAAGAATCCGCCGGGCCTCGGAGGTCGTTTACTTCGCTCCCGTCACCTGCGCGAGAACACTGCGTGCGCCTCGTCACGACGAGCGTGTTGATAAAGTGAACTGCTACCTATCCACCTCGCCACGTTTGCAGTGCAAGTCCGCAGTGCAAGTTCGCCGAGCAAACGAAAGCAGTCTCAGGCAGTTGGATTGCGTTCCCTTCTGGATCTAAGGTGGGCACGGCGTGCGCCTGAAAAGGAGTTCCGTCATGAGTGGGCATATCGGCGACCTGAGTCCGAAGCAGGAGGTGGCGCTCCAACAGGTAAGCCGCTTCCATGCATCAAATTTCTATTGAAACGATTCCCAGGGCAATGGGACGCTTGTCCACTGAATATGTCTTGATCTGTCATAGGCTTCTTCCTTCGTAAATCAACGTATACTGTGCTGGCAGTGTGTTATGAAGTTTTTGTTTCATTTGCACTGTGCAAGAGCTATAGCGACTGTTTTAAAAATCAACCTTGTTTGAAATCACGCTCCGAGGGGCTCCGCTATGAACACATGTGTCCCCGATCCGTGGCTGGACTGGTTCACACAGTCACCGAAACATTCGTGTATCAAATTTCGCGGGCCAGTCTATCTCCTTCAACGCTAAACACGACACACCGATATCTCGGGGACTTGTGGCGTAAGCAAGCTGTCGTAACGGAACGCAACGCAAGAAAACGATCCTGTGTGAACCAACCTTTACACGCTTTCAAGGGAGAGGCTCGTGCCTACGATCAGGGTGTGCCGGCCCGCTATTTGCCCAAAGCACTCAAACCGGCGATTTCCCCCAAGAATGTATATAGGCCTCCTGCGCTGAAGCTTTGAACGTTTTGTGGCGCCTTGCCGTGAAGTTTGCAGGCCTTAAGCTTGTACATCGGACTATTTGCCGGATGCAGAAAAGCTTCACACACTACACTGATAGCAATTAAAAAAAAATGTTAAGCGCACCGAAAGAACGATTGCTTCTGAGGACTTCTTCACTACCGAAGGCTTTCCCACAACATTAGCCAGACGGCGCCTGGTTTTGACGTACAGTCTGGGGACAAATGTCCCCAGGACGTGCAAGCTGCGACTGAAACGCATTGCTCTGCCATCTGCCGGTAGGTCACCTGGTTTCGAGATCACAGAAAAGCGCATGCGCGTCCTACTCTGCCTTAACTCGGAATCGGGCGCGTGGTACCGCCTCAGAGATAGAGCTTACTGACATGGCACCTATAAAGCAAGAAGTCACGGCAGCTCAACTGAGCGATAAACTCAACTGGTTATAAAGCAAAGTGCGCTGACACGGCGAAATGCGGTGCAATGCCCCAGGCGGTATCTCGGGTTTCGGAATGTGTAGCAGACGCTCGTCAGCCGCCAGCGCTATCTCCGAGGCGGTACCACGCGCCCAATTCCGAGTAAAGGGGTGTCCAAACAGGACACTACAAGACGCACGACTCCGACAAATCGTGAAAATTGCAGCGGGCGCGTCCGCTTCAATTTTCACTATTTGTCGGAGTCGTGCGTTTTGTAGTGTCCTCTTTGGACACCCCTTTAGGCACTGTGCAGCAGAAGAGTGGGAAAACACACATGTTTGCAGGCAGAGTAGGACGCGCATGCGCTTTTGTGTGATCTCGAAACCAGGCAACCCGCCGGCAGATGGCAAAGCAATGCGTTTCAGCCGCAGTTCGCACGTCCTGGGGGACTGTACAATCGTCCTCACTATGAGCGTGAGCAGACCGCCGTCGACCGATTGGGACTGCCAGCTCCAACTAGCGGCGCTTCCACGCGAGAATTAGCGCCTGCGCAGAAAGGACGGATGCGCTGCTGCGATAGCGTGTATCACCCCCCGTTCTGGAATTTTAAAACCGCCCGCGGCCCGTCTGTTTTGTTTTATTGATAGTTGGAAGCACTGGTTGCGATAAGCAATCGGCCGCGGACTGCGCTTTTTGAGCGACAAATCCTGCTGTGTAGTTAGCGCGTTTCGGCATAGTCGATATTCACTCTTGATGGTATAAAATATATCTGTTTGACAAGGAAGTAGGAAACGGGGACGTTATGATTGGGTCGCGAAGTCGGTATCAGTGAAGACGTTTTATCTAATGAAATCGTTTCGAAATGAGGATGTGTTTGAGTTGCACAAAAACGGGGCGCCTACGCCAAATTTATTCATCAGGAAACTGCTGTTGCGATGTCACGCGCACCCCAAGACGAACATTGCCGGATTATAGACCTATTATAGACCTGTGCCTCAAGGAGTATAGCCAAAAAGCCATCGTCGATTTCGTGCAGCGGCCATTGAAAACCGTCAATCGCATAATACAAGCCTAAAACAACGAAGACCGCATTGCGGACGCGCCGCAAAATCGACGTCCTCGTGTGACAACAGCCGACCAGGATGAGACGATTGTGGCCGCCGTGGCAGTCGACCCGTTTCTGTCGGCCTGAGATGTTCGCAATGCCTGAAACCTTCAGGTGAGCACGTTGACAATTTATAGGTTTTCAGAGTCTGGGCTCAAAATCCGGATAGCTGCCCAAAAGCCTCGGCTCAACAAAGAAAACAAGGGAATGCGGTTGGCATTTGCCAGAGACCACTGCAGCTCTTGGACCTTTGCAGACTGGAGGAGCGTTTTTTTTTTTCTGATGAGTCCACATTTACGACTCGTTGGGGTCAGCAGCGACGTGTATGGCGGCCGAACTGCTGCAGATATGACCCCGAGTTTCTTCAGAAAGTGGCAGAAAGTGGTCAGTCAGTTGTGAAAGTCTGGGGAGGTTTCTTCTACCAAGGACTTGGACCACTGTACAGAATTGGAGGAAGGCTGACCTCTGGGTCCCACTGCAACATCTTGGGTGACGTTATGCTTCCCTATAATCTCGGTGGCCCATTTTCTGACGGGGATTATTTTTTTTCTCATCAAGACCTCTCGCCAGTCCACATCGCCGGCAAAGTGCGGACGCTCCTGGAGGAGCGTTGCGTGAGACAGCTGTCATGGCCTTCAAAAGGCGCTGATATGAAGAATATCGAGCACATCTGGAGCTTATGAAGTGGCACCTGGCGAAGCAATCCCTCCACAGTGCACGCGCCGACAACCTGTGGAAGCCGACCGAGTGGAACCGACTACGGGGACGCACCGATATCGTCGAAGAGCTTTTTCACTCTCTGCTTTCAAATAATCTGCGCCCTCAGGGCGCGCAGTGACATGACCCGCTACAAAGACGCACAAAAGACAATCTAGGAAGTGCTAGATGTCTTGAAACTGGTTCCATATTAAAAAGGATCAACCGGGTTGTTGGTTTTCCTTTTTTCTTTCTTTTTTGAGAAAGCTCTTTCTAGAAGTAAACATATTCTTTTGAAATGGTGTGGTTCTTAAAATACAGATCAAAACAATTCGCGAGTTCATAAAAAAAACCTGCGCGCCTCAAAAAAAAAAAAAAAAAAAAAAAGATAAGAAAAAAATTATCAGTTTCGCGTTAACGAAAAGATAGCGCACGAAGCAAGATCAGAAGAACGGAGCGCGCGTGGAAGGTCGCATCCGCACTGATCGCGCAATTTTTTTTATAAATATATGGAACAGCGCGGCCCTGCCTTATCCAAAGTGACATGCAAGAGCGGGTAGCGTGCGTTCTCGTAAGAGCGCATCCGCTCTTTCTGCGCAGGCGCTTATTCTCGCCGTGATTCGTGGAAGCGCCGCTAGCTGGAGCTGGCAGTACCAATCGGTCGACGGCGGCGTGTTCACGCTCGTTTCGAGGACGACTGTACCACTTGTATTCCTCTACCAATTGGCACAATTAGGCCCGCGAATAAATAAAGTTACTAAATATTAAAGTGGCCATATTCCTCTGAGGGGGAAGGAGGGGGGGGGGGGGGGGGGATTTGAAAGCTTTAAATTTGGGTAAAATCACACCTTTTTAGAATTTCGTATAAACCGTGCGCCTTTCTTTTCTTTGCAGTTTTCACAGTGTCTGGCGTGCCAGTGGAATGCGTTTGGTTGGAATATTACTTCAGTAATTACGTAGTTATTCTTGTAAATACAATGTCTGTAGTACTGTTCCTTTATCACACGCAAATCAACCATCAGCACCAGTTCAAAGCATACCATGTTCATTTCTGAGAGAAAGCAAGAGCTCCACTGATGCATGCTCTCGCTTAACCCCTTTTTTATCTCTTCGGAATTCGGAGGAGCCAAAGCGGGACAAATCGCCGTCCCACCAGGACGCGGGCGGGACCACGGACGGAGGAGCGGAATTTGTCCCGCCTAAATCGGGACGTCTAGTCACTTTACCAAAGATAAGCTTCCACGTGCTGTCCAAAACATAAAGAAGCTTGTGGACTGCGCCTTGGACGTGGTTTACACATTTCACTTGTCATACGGCCGGCCGGTTTACACATTTCATTTGTCATCAGCCTAATAGGTTGACGTGTCAAAGGAAAGGTGCGTGAGCATTACTTATCTTTGCGGCCAATGACCGGAGACACATTCATCGTCACCCTAACGTCAAATTTCACAGGGTCCCCTATGTTATCCCTAAGACGACTTGAAGGCAACAGCCCAAGCGACGATACAAACGTGACTGTGAACCTCCGAAGACAGCGCGCTTTCTGACGACGCACTTTTGGTGCCGTTTAATTTATACCTTTCGTTTTTAATACTTTTCGTGTCGCCAAGGAGTTTTTGAAGGTTTTGTGTCGTCGTCGTGTTTTCGCTCCGTGACATTGAAGGCCGAATGACGATGACACACATGTAAGGCTTTCGCCTTAATAATGTTTCCACTGTAGGGCCACGATAAAGTGGCAAGAGAGCTGCAGGAATCATGCGATAGAAAAGGAGCGCGAGGGAAACTGCCTGAGCCAGAAGTCAATATATTTGCACACAAGAACTTTGATGTCAGTGACTCGTGTAAACGCTGACGTTACCTCCATATTGAAAATCTGTCTGTGGGGCCTACCGGGATTTTTGGAAGGTCTTGACGTATTCGATTTTTTTTATGTGGCTTAAAAAGTTCCACAATTATTATTATTTTTTTATCGAGGTTTGATATACACTTGAGGAATTTCTAAATGGTGCGAGAGGCACGGCATAGTTTGTTTAGATGCCTGAGGGGTCCGCCAAAACCTTTTCGGGGAAAGCACGTGTCGAATCAAAATATTTTAATACGTCTGTGCCTTCAGGATATATGTGACGGGTAATCTGCTCGACCATTTTGTATCGGGCGGCCACAACAAACAGTCGCTCAGAGTCGGCTTCCCGTCCCACGCGTGGATCTATCTCTTAAAGCGTGCGGATAAATAAGGAATCT